AGACAAATAGAAGGGATTAGAATTTGGGTTTTCTACGTGGAGGAGTGCGATTTAAAATCCATAGGTCTATAAATGATTCTCAAGAACCGTAAAAGATGAAGGTAGCTGTAAGGAGTGAGGGTCTGCGGGGAGGGGGAATTCTCAAAATGTTATGAAATATAGAAGTTTCTCTCGAAATAAATGGATAAAGTCATATTGGATACGCGATGGAGGAAGTTATATTGTTACAACTGATGAAATATATACAACTATTGACTCATCGTAAGTTATTCGTCAGCGTATCCTCACTTAAATTTGGTTAATTGATAAAATAAAGCACGAGACGCAAACCTTTTTGTTTTGTTTTGTTTTGTTTGTTTGTTTGTTTGTATCTGAAACCTAGTCGAAATACGTATCAGTATTCAGCTATCATATAGATTCGGGCACTAACAGGTTTTTGTTTTAAGCACTCGAGATGACAGCAAATAACGAAGATCAAATTTTCGCGAAATTAATTCATTGTATTTCTTATTATATTAGGTTATGTAAATAAAGCCTTATTTAACCAAACTTCGGTTTGGTAACTGAAGACAATGTAGTCCAAAAGGTAGAAAAAATGTAATATTTCAAAAATAAATAAATAAATAAACAGCCCTCTCTCACTTTTTAAATCAACCTTTACTTTGTGTTTTCCTCTTTGCACATGAATAAATAATTCACTGAAGAAATACAAATTATGGACTTTTTAATTACAATAATTGTCATAAGTGAACAACCAGTAAACCGACTGCTTGGCATCCATATTCGTACTAGTAGTATTTCTCAATAAACGTTTAGGTTGGAATAAACCAAGATTACTGTATTATTTGATCGGCCATATTTTTGATAGATCGACTCAATGGAAGAACATAACTAGCATTTTTATAAAAAGTCTTGTTGCTTTTACTGAACCCTGTTCCAGCAAGCATTAAAACACGTATATGGTTCCAGCACGTTGGAAAGACATCCCATTTCATAAAGTTCATGCATATGCGGAACGCTTTGGATGCAATATTCTCAGGATAACAAATTGCTCAGAAGAGTCCCATCACTCGGCTGGAATAATCGTCTGATCTCTCATAGCTGAAATTTTCCTCATTGAGCTATATAAATCTCAGCCTCATCTGGGGTAGCCGATCAATTCCAATGAAAACTTTCTTGATAAGATTTCTTTGTTGCTGCCTCTGTTCAATAAGTGCTCGGTATTTTCACTAATATAGGCTGACCAATACATTGAAAGTTTGAAGCCTGTATGAGCTGGTGTTTTGAACAGCTTCTGTAATTTTTTAAATAAAATTCATACTGTTATTTATTCAACTGTTATACCTTCTTTGTTTTTCTTACATTTGCCAAAATTTGTTTCTTCATCCCCTGAGTTTATGCCCATGCATTGTACGACAAAACATTAATTGTTTAATGCGTTCTATCATCTCTTAGAACTCAAAACTCCTTTAACATTTAAAAGTTTTTTGGGGAAAAGTTTGAAATTACCCTGTAGACATATAATACATATATTTATTGAACGATGTAATATATGCCCTCCCTTCGAATAAGCGGAGTTATTTTTTTCGGGGGGGGGGGGGGTACTGTAGTATACGGTGCGATAAAAGTTATCCATAATATTCCTAAAATTGTTCATGAAAGTTATTTTTATAGTAGCTTTTAGAAAGAAAATGTTACAAAAATTTCATGTTTACAGGATTTGTTGCAGTCATGCTTTACCCCATATAGCAGTCACACTTACCCATAAGACATTTAAACGTGCCCTTCTGTGGAGTAAAGTTACTTTTTCCCTTCTTCCATCACAGAACTTTTTTAAGCATTTTTTCGAAGCGACCATAAAACACTTAATTTTTTTTGTCTTGTAAGAACTAAGAGAAAACTGTGCAGATGAATCTGACGCAAGCTGCTTATGAATTTTCCATTAAAAAATATTCATAGTAAAAATTAATGAAAGTCTGCTTTGTTTGAAAAAAGTAGCTATAGGGTATAAAAATTTCCTCTCACTGCTGATACAAATTAAAGCAAGGTGATCCCTTTCTGTGAAATCAGCGGTAAGAGATTAGAAACATTTACTCTTTTTAAAGCTAGTAAATAAAGTTAATTAATACATTCTTGTATAGTTAGCGACACAAAAGACATTCTTTAAAAAAACATTGGCCAAATTCAGGTTAGGATTAAAGTTTTTTTTCCCAGCTATTTTTCTTTTCAATTACCAATTACTTAGACGAGGAATATAAAAAGGGAAATTCTACATTTTTTTACACTTTGTTTGGAAACATCGACATCTAATAGCTTTTAATAGCTAACACGTATTTTTTTCCTATCTATTTATTTATATTTAAATTCATAAATATAATGTTTATAATGTGCCATTAATTAATTAATTAATGAGTAATTTTATTCCACAATTTTTTCCTGTGATATTTATAATTTTTACCTGAAACAACTGAAATAAGTTCGAAATAAAAGAAATATTTTTATGAATGTTCCTAACTGGTAAATATTTAAGTTTCTTGAATGATGTATAGCAGTTTTGCAAGTTAAAAGAATTCCACTATGTGTCTAAAAAATTATTTCCCTTAATAATACGTTTTGGTAAATGATCTAAAATTGAAATTTAGGATTTAAAACTTTGGCATATTAATTACATTGGGACATCATGTAATTACTCATACGTATCATTATGTTCAAAACTTAATGAAATGAATCATTTAATATCTGCTGTTATAACCTCTTTTAGATGTATAAAACCTGATGATTTTAGAGCATGTGTATAAACTTGATCATTTATCATTCAAATACAACATTATATAAAAAACTAAAGTGAATTAAAATTTTCAGAAACGTTTCAGCTGTCTAACCAGTTAAATTTTTTATTTTGCTCTCCTGACTGTATACTCTCATTTCTACACTGTCACCCCAGAAGAAGATACATGAAAAGTGACATAAAAACACATTAGAAGATTCTCGAGAAGGATCCATGGAATAATAGAAAAAAACTTTTTCCTAAGTATTTCCTTTTATTGCTGCTGATAATACTGAGCTTTAGAAATTTATATTATGGCTCCTTCAAAGGACATACGAGTTATACAGAAATTTAAAATGTTTGTTTAAAATTAAATATTACCAATAACTGGGAGAATCAAAGGGAAAATAATATTTCAAGGCTCCCTCGATTAGTATAAGTAGTTGCATAGAGGCTGCGTGCTATGTTATCAGATGATTAAATACTTTAATAGTTTTAGTTTTAAACCCCAGATACAGTTCTAAGAGATTTGTTTTAAATTTGCATATTTATTCAGTAGTATTTGATTTCATTTTATTTATTTATTACGTGCTACGTCCTTAGGCACTACGCAAGAGAGATGTCTCGTGGAGGTTTTTTAAAGGAAACTGGCTGGTATCCACGTTAGACATGGGGGAAATCACGAAAACGCTTAAGCAGTTAGCGCGTTCTCAGGGAATCAAACTCCGGACTGAACTACAGTATTCAGCGGCCTTTACCGCTCTTTCCTTCGTGGGCCTATCATTGTTATGTCTGCATCGATAATTTGGTAAAAGATGCACTTGCTAAAAAATAGTAAAGATTAAGTAAACAATTTCAAACATGCGTAACTGGTTGAAACATTTAATTAATATACAGATTGGAATAGTTGTTCTGCACTTAGTGAAAAATTTAGTGTTATATTTTTCCAGAAGTTTCACATAAACCAATTTTTTTTTTTTTTTTTATTTTCAGTAGTAAGTCTCCCTAACCTTGAGAAAACTCTTTCTTTACATTCAAAGTTTAAAAGAGCTAGAAATAAAATTCTAATTTTTACATGTTTAAACAACAAAAAATGTCCGAATAATTAAGCTGAGCTGCCTATTTAGAATCATTAAACGGTCTCAGTACCATCTTTCCTGTTATAATCTTACTATATAAATATATTGAATAGCTGGACGAAATAGAAACACAAAATTTTAAGTTAAAATCTTATATTTCGAAGCTTTGGTCTGATATTAACAGTTAATTGTCCGGCAATTTACAGTTCTGCAACTTGAAAGATTAGAAATTCATAAGCATAATTTTTTTTTAAAATATTCAAAACGTCTTTTTATTTAGAGTTTTCTGTAGACGTAAATTAGATTCTTTAATGTAAGCTGAATCCCTGTACTTTCATGTTTCGTACAAAAGAGCCAAAAAATATGCTAAAACTTCTGTTCATAGTAGACTTATTAAAATATGCGTCAAATACCTTATTGCAATAAAATATTACTTCAGAATTCAGAAAATACGCTAATATTATGTTTTAGTGATAGAATATGAGATTAATTCTATTTACTGACAGAATCTGAAAGACTCAGAAAATAAGCTGATATTTTGTTTTATGGATAGAATATGCACAAGCAGTATTAAAAATATTTCAACATTTTTATTATAATCTTCAACCTATTCAATGCAAGTCGATCTGCACTTCACTGATGCATGTATTCTAAGAGGGGGTTTGGAAAGAGAGAAAGAGACACAAAAGTATCTTCTGACTGATTGAGTAACCACTGATGCATCTCCTTCTTTACCTTACTGGCTTGCTGAACTTCTTTTTAGTGACTACCTTTTGACAGATCTACTCATAAACCTGCTGAAGCGATACAAAAATGTCTCGGTATTATCTCTTCATACTCTGATGAACACTTGTTGGCGTTAATCCCCGAATCGCATAATTATGCTCTTATTTCTCTTGTGCACGATTTTAAGTCGATAGCCACCTTGGTTGTTGTTTGCTCATAACATCAAAATCAAGTTATAGTCCTGGTGGCTTCTATATTCAGACCTACGACAGAAAAGCTAATAGGTTTATCAAATCTACAGCAGAAGCATCAATTACTTGCTTTTTTTCCACCACTATATTAAAATAACCTCTTTATTCCCCTGCGAACTTTCCCAATGAATATTAATAAACTACATTCATTTATGTTTATACAAGTAACAAATACAATTTTTTTATTCCTTACATTTTTATTTTTGTTCGTTAATTATACATACTACATTTATTCGACTGACACAGGTTTAAATAATAAATTAACAAAACAGACAAATATAATGACACAAAAGACACGGATGCCAGCTCCATAAAAATAAATAAAATAGAATAGAATATTTCGTAGACATGTCTAGATATACTAAAATAAATGCATCGATCAAAGCTACAGCAACGTAAATGCACATGAATAAATTTACTCACATAAAAAAAGTTTTTAAATTAAATAGCTTACTTAAGTATTTAAATAAAGCATTGATTAAACCTGTATTTAATATCAGAATAATATTGTAATTTTAGTTATTTAAATATTAGTGATTATATACTGCGTTAATTAAAGTACCATAATTAAACAACTTCGTTCAATAAGTGGCAGTTTTGTTAAAGTTCATTCAATTTTACTTAAAGAGAAATTCAGAGAATCGCCTTTGTACTAGCAAACATTTGTTGCACTTCAGTGATAAAATTTTCTGAATAGCGTTGGAAAGAATTACTCCTTTAAACTTCCTTAATTATATTTTGTGCGATGAATGATTGTGAGCTGCCCTGGAATATCATTCTTTTTAGAGTTAATTAACATTTCTTTTCGTATAGTTTTCATTGGTTGGATAATGAATTTCAGGGCTTGTAAGTAAGATCCGGTGACACATAAGCGTATGGAAGGGGATTATGAGGAACGTGTATTCTTAAATGCCTCTGCCTAAATACATGTCCTTGTAGAAAATCATTAAGAGGGAATTCCTTCAAAGCCTTATTGAAATACAGAGCTAAGGGGTAGTCAATTTTATCAACAGCATTAGCCGTGAGAACCCAGAAGTACAGTGGACCCAACTGAGTTGCTACGCTTTCAGCTTTTATCGGTTCAGCTCCCTCTGCGGCATCTTCGTCGCGGAACAGGATTTCAGCTGATGAAAAATCTACATAAGGTTGGTCAGCGGAGGCAACCTGAAGAACACCGTTATCCTTTGTGAGGTACATGACAGTTCGAGCATGAACTTCGTTAAATATAATTGTTGCATTACCTCTTCCGGTTACCTTGAAGATCTCATACATTGTTCCATTAGCTGCAAAAAGGCAGTTGGCATAAAGTTTTGGATAATGAATTCCGATTTTGATTCGGGATTCAGCTAGCTGGCTTTCCAGCTGAGTAACTCGGTAATCCGATAAACCTCCTACAGTGATCTTCCTCATTTTCACATCGAAAACTTCTCCAGCCACAAGAGGCTGCAGTTGCATATCATCGAGCCGGACGGGATCCAGGATCTCACCCAAAGGTTCATCCATTCCTGTTTTCATCACAACGCTAAGATTTTGCATAACGTCGCTAAAAAACTCATTCAGTGCTTGGTCTGCTTTCTGAAGGCGTTCTTCTTCACTGAGTTGACTGTGGAAAGGAGTTTTGATTTTAGTTTCTACTTCATTTTGAGTCTCAGGTGCCTTTGGAGATTCGCTAGTTGTTGCAGTTTTGATTGAAGATGCTTTGTATTGCTTGATGTTTGAATTAACTGCTTGAAACTGCTGTTGAGACTGTTGTTGCAATTGCTGTTGGGATTGTTGTTGAAAATGCTGCTGGGAATGCTGCTGAAAATGCTGTTCAGATTGCTGTTGTAGTTGTGGAACCTGCTCCTGAGACTGGGGTTGAAATTGTTGTTGCAATTGTGGCACCTGCTCTTGAGACTGCGGTTGAAATTGTTGTTGCAATTGTGGCACCTGCTCTTGAGACTGTGGTAGAAACTGCTGTTGGGACTGCTGTTGCAATTGCTGTTCAGACTGTTGTTGTGACTCCTGTTCAGACTGTGGCTGAAATTGTTGTTGAGACTGCTGTTGCAATTGCTGTTGAGACTGTTGTTGCAGCTGCTGTTGAGACTGCTGCTCTAATTGTTGAGACTGTTGTTGAGACTGCGGTTGTAACAATTGCTGAGACTGTTGTTGAGCCTGTTGTCGCAATTGTTGTTGAGATTGCGGCTGGAATTGCTGTTGAGACTGAGGCTGGAACTGCTGTTGAGACTGCTGCTGCAATTGTTGTTGATACTGTTGTTGCAATTGTTGTTGATACTGCTGTTGGTATTGTTGCTGAAATTGCTGTACACTTTGAGAGACCGTGGTGGTCTCCTGAACTGTAGTTGGTGGATCTGTAATTACTTCTTGAGAGCTTGACTCCACAGCATTCCATGGTAAAGCATATTCGCTACTACTTTCAGGAGATTTTACTCTTTGACCAAAATGTGCTGTTTTTATAGATGATGGAGCGTTAAAAAGATGCAAAGGAGAAGAAGGTTTTTCAGGTGATTCACCGCTTGTTGATGGCGAAACTGCGTCAGAAGACGCCTTTTCAGAAGTCGATTCGAGTATACTTTGGGATGACGCAGTCACATCACTCGAATCTAAAAGCAAAGAAAGTATCAATAAATTTGCGGTTAAAAATAATTGAAAATTCTTTATGTGTTTGGAGAAATGAATAAAAAATAAATAATAATGACTGTATGGCAAGAATATGAACCAAATCACTGTAACGTGGACCGAAATTGGATCTAGAAATAAATTGTCTTGACACGCAAAACCACTAGACTCAAGTCACATAAAAGTTTTAAATACATATTTCTCTCTTCTAAGAGAAAAGTGTCTAAAATATGAAATATTTGAAATTTTAAAGTCTAACTTCCCTCAGTTCATTATAAATAAAACATATAGTTGATTAACTACTGCTCAAGTGATACACGAATGTTCTAGAGTGATATATGAGCTCCATTAAAGTACAATGAAATTTAACTGATAATAATTCTTATAAAGTGAGCAGCAAATTTTGACTCTAATTTTGTAATAAGTCTTTTCTTACTTATAGAATAACATTCCAGGTAAAACACGTGCGTTATTATTAAAGAAACCGTTATTATTTCTATGTATATATTTTAATACGTATTGCTTAATTAAGACTTTTTGGAAAAGCCTGTTGCTGATGGATTCAGTCATAAATGGTACTTCTATACAGATACAGAGTGTTTTTTTAAAGCATACTCGTATACAGGATGGGAGGATGATATTTAATACTGAATGCTGAATTATCGATGGAAATCAGTGCATCAGCGTATGTCAAAAATTCAGAATTTTTGGTTTTTCACTTTATGAGTGTTGGAAAGTTCAAAAACCCGTTACTTGTATCATCCATGCAAAATTAATTATGCATAACATTTCTTGCTTTTAAACAATTTTTGTATTGTAATTATTGGTCAGCCTAAAATGTAAAAGATACTGCTATATATTTTGGATAGTTAAAATGTAACTATTTTCGCAATTGTCAACTTTGTTCTAGTAGGAGTGCACTGAGCCTAGATATCCTGTTGCCCGAGCACCGTTCCACCGAGTGACCTCAAATATTGTGATAATTTATGTACGCTCAACAATAAATATATGCGCAGAAAGGAGGCCTTTCCCAAAATTTGCTTTGCTTATGACCGTTATAATTTCAATCATTTAAGTTTTCCATTCCTTGTGATTCCCATAGTGAATGGTAATCATTCTGTCGACAATTTATGATGTAAATTTTGAAGAAATGCAATTTATGCTTTCGATAAAATATTTTATTTCTTGGTGCCCCTTGTAGCTAATATTTTATATTATCAAAATATGTTTTTAATTTTTTCACTGATTAAACAAACTTATTTTTTGAAAGTTTCTTTTTTCAAAAAGGCATACTTTGTAAAATTAATTTTCAGATTTGTAGTACAGAATTCCCATCAATCCGAGTACCATACAGATAGGAAAATTTTATTTTATGTTTAAAATCTACTTGAAATGGATCCTTTATTGAGATTCAGCAACTCGTGATATTAATAAATGTAAATAAATTATTATTCTATATGAATGTTTTTACTGTTTTACTACGATTAAATAAGAAAATTAGCAAAACAACTGTTTCAAAAGATCAATAATTAAATCCAATATTAAGATTGAAATTACATTAATAGTCATGAATCATGCAACTTAGGCATCCAGAAGAGTATTAAAAATGATCCTATTTGTTTTTAGCTGCATTTTCTTAACACTAGACCACACTTTTATTAATCAATTGCTCTCAAATTTTTGTCCGCTTTCTGAAAACCTGCTTTATATTTATATGAAGAACTCATAAATTTGAACTCCTTTTACATCCGCTTAATCATGTTTAATGAGCACAAAGGTTAGCTTTTTTTGTTTTCTTTTTTTTTTCATTTCATAGCGCTTTCTCGCTCATAAAATACATCCTTCAATATTTCCATGCTTTCGCAAATGTTATATAATAAACTGCTCAATTTTTCTCTTTTACATAAATTCATCTGCTACCTAAAAAGGTATTCCCGTCTCGATGTTTGGACGGTGCTCTAATATCCATAATATGTCGAAAAATTGAGGGACCCATAAAAACGTGAATAATTTTTTGCCCTTAAAAAAGAACCTGTCTCTTGTTGAGAATTGTTGCCAACATATATAATTCCATACTTTCCATTGCCAAAGCAACTGGGAAAACCTCAGAAGTATAATTACGGGAAGTAACTTAGCATTCTTACCTTTAACTTTTTATAATGTTAATGTGATAACCATTTCTGACATCTTAGCCCTTAACTGTTTTTCAAAAAATCCCATAGCCCATTATGAGGATTAATTAAAAACCTTGTACAGGCTACCAAACGAGTATTAAGAGCCCACGATGGATTCTAAACCTGATACCAACTGATATTTATCTGTGGGTTTACTTCAAAATCTTTTACATAAGAGAATTATTAGTTTGCAGTGTCTCTCAGAAAATGCCCGCCATGCTCAGGGTTTAATTACTTCTTAGGCTCACAAGAGCGGACATAAGAATTAACGATTTTAGGGGTCCCCCAAGTCATCCTATAATTTCAAACTATCCTGTTTTTATAGTACAAAAATAAGGAAAGCGTGCACTGGGAATACCTAAAAGAACTTTGTGTCAAAAGCCCCACACTGATCTGATCAAGATATTTGTCAGATTGATACTGCTGTCGTCAAATGTGGGTTAGTGGACAATAAATATGGGCTGCGTCCGTTTGTCATCAATTATAGATGTAATCTTATACAACTCCATAAAAATTGTTGTGATACTGAACTCATGGAATATCTTGTATTTAAAATTTTATATTGATTTGTTAATTAGCAATTCAAAACCTTCTGTCAGTCACTAAACCATGCATAGAAGTGTTTCAAGCTAATGCGAAAAACTTTTAAACGAAGTGTATTTGAATATTTATCTTTTATTCACTTACCAGTCTGAGCCAACACGAGGCGGATGCAAATTATCATAAAAAACGCCAGCCAATGATTATCCATCCTGCACTCTTAATCTTTCGCTGTAGACTCCAACTGCAACCAAAATACATTAGGAAGTATTAATAAAAAAGTAGTTATTTTTCTTAGAAATGCTGCAATAAATTTCTATAAATTTATTGACAAGATTTTTAAGCGTTTAAGCTTAATAAAATGTTATTTCATTAAATTTTATTCAATTCAATTAGTATTTAGTCAAAGACTAAAATTTATCAGATATTTTTTTAATTTTAATATTTTTAGTGATACACATATATAATATTTTACGTCTTTGAAAAAAGTTAATCAGTCGTATTTATATTCTGTGCATTAACGAAATAATTAGGTAGTTGAACTTAGCAAATTCACGTAAAGGCATAAAAATAAGTAATTTTATTTAAGTTTCTTCACCTTGTCAAATACGTAATAATAATGTATTTATAATTTGTGCGTGAACTGTTTAGTAAAATCTTATTCTATTTTAAATTAGCAATTAAATAATTATTAAAATTGCGAAATATTTAAGTAAGAGTTAACATTAAAATTAAATATATCCCTTATAATGTTAGACATATAAATTCTTTAAAATATATCTGCATTCAGAGTAAATTCGTTAAACACTTCTTTTAAAATATTACTAATAAATTATTAAAACTCTCATGTATCCATTATTAGGTACAAAGTCAAGTTAAGACATAATGAGAAATGTTTAAGCAAATAATATTTTAAAATTGCATTTATGAAAGAAACGCAAGAAATGCTTTATGTAACAATTTAAAAATTTCAGAAATTATTAATAATGCCATGTATGCAAGCTCTATGAAACTACACTGTACTTCGGAATAATGAATATTTAAAGAAGATAATATTTTATGATTACATTCAAAATAAATAAACTAACTTGCACAGTCCTTACCAGTTGACCTGTGGAAAACATAATATACTTTCTAAGTAAACCGTATATCTTTCCAGAATGCATTTGCAAATCACATACAAACTATTTCTTTTCTACAAATTATTAAATTTTTACCATTTACAATTCTGGAGAAATTTTCAATTATTAATTTTGAATGTGCTTAAGTTATCGCAACCCGGTCTAAATATGACCTTTTACATACAATCCTGTGCAAAAGAGGTTTCGGTATAGATCATAAATATAATACGCTTTAACATTAAACCTTGTTTTCACATTTTCTCTTCTAAAGAAGAAAAATGAATTTCTATAAATTTTTACTTCAACTGTTATTAACATACGTTTTATTAATTCATATAAAAATTCCAAGAATAAAATTAAATTGGCCAAAAATTGCTTTTTATTCTTAACATGATAGATGTTAGGTTATTCAGAAGAGATTATCTTTAATAACAGACATTTCTATAAATACTTGATCTTATGTTTGTCCTGTCATTGTTATGGATCAATAAACAAATGTACTTCCCTTTAAAAAAATATTTATCAATATAAAGTAAAGGAAACTTTTTAATTTTATGTTACTATGTTTTTTATTTTCTGTTTAATATATATTCAGTTCAAATTATTTATTTTTGTTGATTCATTAAAATGTATTGTATTTCTGTTTTAGTGGATCAATAAATGAATATTTTCGCTATATTCAAATCATTCTTTTGCAATTAGCGAGTTAAATAACAATATCTACGAACGAGCATCAATCAGGAAATGCTGTTACTGTGTTTGCTTTACGAATTTTGAGTTCAGATGTATTGATCTAATTTAATTGTACATCGGCGTTTTTTTAATAATTATAGCGGTCATTATTTGCTCTAAATGTTACGAGGAATTCTTTTATTTCCCTATGCTTGTTCTCGTAGAGTGACGGGTAGCTCGTCTGGTTAGCACCTGAAAGATAGTTTAAATTTCGTGGAGCGCTAGATGATGGTTTCCGTTTCTTACTCAAAAAAGTCTAATGGCTCTACAACAACGATTAAATTAAAATATAGTGAATGACAATTTATCACCACCTGGATTGACTGAGTCTCAGGCTTTTCTTAGGCACTCTTTAATAACAGGAAAAGATAATGAATTATACCATTCTTTCATTTGTGCTTTCGCGACGTAAGTGGTAGCACGCCACCTAGCAACTGGAAGATCTGTAGTTCGATTCTCGGCAAAATGATAGTTGATTTTTCCCATTTCTTGCTCCGAAAATTGTCTAATTTCTCTGCAACTTACAATATGCTCAATAAGTCTACAATATGCTATATTGCTGCAGTTGTTGCTGCATAGTAAAAATCATGCAAATGAAATCAACTGCTGCTGCTCATAAATGTGTTATTGAACAATAACACAGCAATGACAATATAAATTGTCTGCGCCAACACTATTCCACTTTGAATTTAGATGTGCCATGTATGGTACGTCAACCTCTTGGCCAGTAATCACTACAAATGGACATTTCTTCCGAATTTTAATTACCCGTACTCTGCGTAGACAGGTCAATGGAAAACGATCATACTTAGACCGGGATTCGAACCTCTGCCAATTGGTTACGAACTACCTCATATAACTAGCATAATGACCGAACAGCGGAGCATTTTATTCATAATTTAATCAACTAGTAAATCCTACTTTCAAATAAATGAAATTAATTTTATTATTATTACTTTAAAAAAATTCTTTTTCTGCCTTTTTTAATATATTTGAAAGTTATGAAATAAAAATACAGGGTTTAATATTAATTAAATAAAATATAATTTTTAATAAAAACTGATAACATTGCATGTGTATAACATTTAATAAAACTAAAATCTTGATACATAATAATTAATATAAAAATAAATTTTATTCCAAGCTCTTAGTTTTCCTAAAAATGAGCATCCACTAACTGCCAAGCACTTAAAGCCGCAAAATTATCATAATTCAATCTAGGTTCGGTTCTTTACCGCTTAATGAGATGACTGCATAAATGTTTCGCCATTTATTTACGTATAAATGAAATGTGAGTTATTTTTCATCAAAAGTTCCGCTACACTTTTTTTTTTTTTTTTTTTTTACACAGACAGCCTTTGGTAACACTAAAGCCATAAATAAAAATTGCAACCAATTAATAGAGTTTTCAAAGTAAAAGAATGATGAATATTTGTAACGATGTTCAAAAAACATTTTTTTTTTTTTTTTTATTTTTTATTTTCGGGAATACTCGTATAATCATACGACTTACCAGTTAATTTACAGAAGAGTATAAATTGCACCATTTGAACAAGAGAAATATTTTTACTCATTTAAAATAATATAAGTAAACATGCAGATGAATTTAGCTTACGAATAGCAAACTGATCCAGGAATTTTATACGCTGTCTGAAATTGGGATCATTAAAGATATATTCTATACTTCAGAAACAAGAAGTTCTAATTTTTCAGGAAATTTTTTCATAAAAAGTAAAATGGAGCCAGCCTTTCTCACAGTAGAAAGGGTATTTAGAGTCTTAACTTAAGAAGGATTTTAATATTATACAGATAATGAGTTATCTTCATTAAAATTCTCTTAAACTTTCTGAGTCTGTCTCTTTTTCGTTCGTCGTATTATGAAATATTCTGCGAAATAGAAAATATATTTTCAGCTTGAATTCTTTTCCGGTTGCCTCTGCAAAAGATTACAATGATTTCTAAATTCATCAGATGTTGATGCATAATCATGGCTCATTTTACTTTTACTGTTTTGAAGCATTATGGAAGAAACATTATAATGGAAGCTTCATATTAGAAATTTGAAATAATAAGAACTGGGACCACGAATTCAATTTTGCTTCCGCTGAAATTATCCGCAAAGCTTCATAAGTTGGTGAATTGGATTTCCTTGAGGTTTTCCTTATCCACAAAAATTTCTGTACATTAGTGAATGATGTAAATTTTAGCCCCTTTATCTCCCCCATCTGCAAACAAATAAGTTCGGACTTTATTTTCAGCCCTCATATGCCAACTTGCTGTGTATATTAAAAGGAATGAAAGGATATATATCCCATTCGTGTCACATCCTTTCATTGCTTTTCTTTTTCCCTTCATTACAAAGAATTACATCGTCAGATACTAGTATGATCTCAAATATTCTTCATTATCTCTCTTTATTTATGGTACCTATCTTTTATTTACTTACAGCTGAGGAAAACAACAGTGTTTAAATCACAGAAATGGCTTCTACAAAAATAAAATTTACGCGAATTATCATTGGTTCATCATGTGCCAGTTATGAGAATTTATTAACATTTTGAAGAATATTTCTTCGTGTTCAAATAAAATCATATTAGGCGGAAACAAAGAAGGAATTAAAAAGTGAGTCACTTCTTTTGGTACTGTGAGTGGAAATTAGCTGCTCCCCCGACGCAGGTGTCAAATGCGTCTTTGCGAACAAAAGCAAACATTTGAAATCCACTAAGCATGCCCTCTTAAAAGCTTACTGGCTAGAGAAAGAGGAATCCGAGACCATCGGATTCCGTCACGCTCTTGATTATATAAATGTGCATTAAATATCCATGTAAACATGCTGTATAGTGAAAACTCGTTATCTGTATTTATGACCCTGAAATAATAAAACTACTATGGCAAAGATAACATTCAGATTCCAATTCACGCTTTCAAACAAATTTTTCCTGTTTTTCCAAATAGCCGGACACTTGAATCTTAATGCATTCATCAGGTATGGCCAGATAGATTGGTTGTTTAGCTGTCTCATCATCGAAAACATACAAGTACGATCGAATTACTCTAGTGAGAAAACAGCAGCTTCGCTCCATTTTAATGGTGAAAAACCCGGGGAATGCATCCAAAGGTCTCCTATCCCCCTTCTCCTAATACTAATCTAGCCACAGGTCTTTTAGCTGAACAATATTTTAAGTGCCCCTATGTTGCAAAGATACTATACATTTAGAGATATCCATGTCTTCTTTGGGATGCGAACCCGAGCTCAAGTCTATGACAGCCAGATGTCTTACTAACATATGAAGAAGACAACACGAAGAATGTAATGGTTTGTGTATCCGATATTTCCTCAAGATTTCTATGAACACTTCTAACTGTTCTTTATAATTTTATATAACCTTCTCCTACCCCTAAGAGATAATGTCAGGGCTCTATATTTTTACAATTTACACTGGTAATCCTTTTCCTTAATAATCTTAAGATTTCATTTTCATTTGTAATGTTACATATTTATGCCACAGTCGTCATGTGTTTGTACTTTACGTTATAATGTCGCCATGCTTATCTTTAAAAACTTATTTCCAAGCGAACTCCACGTGGATATCCAGAGCACCTTCTCTTTCGTAAAGCTTTATTACGCAAAAGATGACAACTGATTACTGTTGGTATACAATAGATGTATTCTAGACTTCTACTCGTAATGTACTTTATTACGAGTTAATGCTCCGTAATCTTGCATTCCCAATTTTCTGCTGTAGCGGAACAATTAGTAGATATTTTCCAGAGCTTATATCATAACAGCAGATGAATAGCAAAAATTTAATACTTCGCTGCAGAGTAGTTGCTCTTTCGATAGTGCTAGGATGAAGCTACACAACAATTTACTGTCATTACTGCTGCTCGAGATCTAGGATTATTGCTGCTTAAAAAACAGACTATGAATGGTACTGCGGATAATTACTGATGAATCAAGGCACCCCCTTGATTCATTCCTCATTATATATGAGGACATTCGTAACCTCGATGTGCAATAAGCGACAATAATAATAAAATTAGGATGTTTAAATTTAAACTGATTCATAATGCAGATTGAAATAGTGATTATTTTAAAAGACGCAGTTATTGATTACTTTGCCATTACTGATTAAATTTAGCAATTTTCCATAAAGTAGAATCATACTGCTTCCACTGGAACTTGGACGCAGCATCTCTTTTCTAGACGATTACAATATTACTGAGCGATAGAAGCTGTCAAACAGTTTCTGATAAGATTTGCTTAAAAATATGATTTACGAAATTTGCTTAAAAATATGTTTTAACAGTTACCACTTATCCCTATGAAAGAGAAACAAACCGATGTAAGACGTAAATTCATCTAAAAATCAGCCTACGATTGGCGTAGATTTTATATAAACATCTAACATTGCGAGAGCGACTGGCGCACATCTCTTGTTTTCAGGAATTAACCTCTCACCCCAAATTTCTAATTGATTAGTATAAATTTTTCTTTTCATACCCTTCTTGCTGTATGCAACAGAATGTGTTTCAACTATTGTATACGTGATGCTTCGGCTATCGCAAAGAGTTGTGTTTACAATCATCGTTTGTGGGGTCTGAGCGTCAATTGCAACTTGAATTCAGTATCTTCGTTCTGGAGAAAGGCACGCTACAGCTACCATCTACAGCTCCCTTAAGTTCTGAGTAAAGTGACAGTTTACACATGAATATTACTGACTAGCGAATATTTTTAATAATTTTTTATTCTTCAGACTTCGTGCGAAGCGATATGCTGAGTTAATAAGAGGAATATTACCTATCGTAAATTTAAAAGCGGAGGACTAAAACTGATTTTTCCCAGGTATTTGTCGACATTTCTCTCTGATAAACACTCAAAATCTTGCAAATTAACTTTTACATTAACCCTTATATTCCAAAGCCAAAATTTATAGCAAATACCTGTATATCTGTATATTTTACAAGATCTTTTTATGTAAGTTTACCATTCGTCCTAAATTTACAACTAATATCCCCTTTCGTTTGAAAATTTAATATCAGCAACAAAAAAGCATGCACTATTTTCATGTTTTCTAGGAACATTATGCAATCCTTAAGAATTAACAATAGAAATTCGTTTATGGTTTTCCTACTTTCCATTTTAGCAGTTAGAAAATATCCCATTGTCTAGCAATCAAGCCAAGAAATAACTTTCTTTTCTCTATGAAAACAGAAACCTCTGTTTCAAAAAACTATATATATGTACTCTGCCAAATGTGCTTCATTTGTACTTTAAAGAACGAATTTAATATCTAGCACATAGAAACTAACGAATTTTAATTTATTTTTATTATAATATATATATATATATATATATTATTAGGATTAATTGGTTCTAATTAAACAGATAAAATTGTCAGTATGATATACAAATGAAATACATCAGTCAGGGCACATGTATAGTTTTGTGAAATATCGTATAAATTTATATTCTCATAAGAAAGTAATAAATAAATAAATAAAATGTTGCTTTGGAATCCATTGATTATATATAACTGTTATATTTCAGTTCCTTATTATTACATATTACTTAAACGTTATTTATTATAAATAAATGGTTCGAGTATCTGGTGAAATTTTCTAAATTTGATGATGCAAAAGCGAAAAAATTCAAAATTAAAAGTCCTCAATAATTATAATAAGATTCTAGAAATTAGGTTTACGAATATTTAGTACAAAATCAATCCACTGGTGGTGGACTATAAGTGATTTTGAAATGGGTGTTCTCAAATGGTTACATTATATATTATATATAAAAATAAAATAAAATAAAAAATAAAAAACTATGCAGTTACATTATAATTCTTCGACCCTGTAGTAATTATAGAATGAAGTAGGAAATACAGAAAGAAATAACTAAATGTTAAAAGTAATTGATTCCAGTTAGAAAAAAGGTGAATATAAAAGTTTACTGTGGTTCAAAAAAGAGAAATTTTGTTACAATTAGTAAGCATTTTAAGGTATGAGAAAATCTTAGCTAGAAACATACTGTGAAACTTGAAAAACTGTAACTATATCTAAAATAACTGATAGTTTTTAAATATATCTGAAATAAAGTAGTTTTAATAACTATAATCGAAGAAGAAAAAAAGCACAGAACTGAAGAAAATCATGTTTGAGAAAAATACTTATTGCCACTGCTGCAACATTATGGCCAAAAGCATTAGTACCTAATACTAATTGTAACTGTCCACTCAGAGGATTAAGCAAGTACTCACCGATGCTGCAGGAGCGGTTCCTCCCGATGTAATGGTGATGAAATTCGGCGTGACCAGTAAGTAGTCTTGGGCACAAACCGGAAGAGATCCCCAAGAAACAGGTAAATACAACTTCACCTCGAAGAACAAGAAGAAAAGTTCAGGACCTTGATTTGTGCGAGTCACGGTCATTGAACTGTCTCGGCCCAGTGGGTCATTACCGAGCCTGGTTACCCAGCGTGAAAATTTATCGCACTTATTCGAAGTGCTTGGCCATTGTTTTATTCTCATGTGGATTCTACCTGTCCAACCGTGAGATACAGAAAATTGAATGCGTCCCTGAGTACTAAATGGAGTCACCAGCACCAGTTAATTTGCTTAAAAATTTCAACAATAAAAATCACGTTTCGAATAAATTACATTTCAAAATAAAATATGTTAAAACAATTTAAAATTTCGGCGAGTTTCCTGGAATTCCAGATCTAGATGAACACGATTAACTGAATTTAACTCGACGCTTTCCTGAGTAGTAAGTGGAATTAGCATCATCAGCTTATTTACTTAAAAACTGAGAAAATAAAAATTACGTTTCGGATAAACAATTCTTCGAGATGAAATATTCTTAGATGATTTAGAACGCAGGCGAGTTTCGAAAAATTTCGATTCCGTGTTAAATGAGCACGCTTGACAGCTTCTGCATGAACCAACTTGAACCTGAATCTGAAAGGACATGTAACGAATATAGCATTCTTTTTATACGTCTCAATTAATACACATAGTAAAAAACCGAATAATCCATGTTTCAATTCCGACGATTTTCAACTTTTCCTGTTCCGAAGTTCTAATAATCTCTTTAAGTGCCAAAAAATATATGAGTTAATGCAAAAATTTTAAATCCTTATATTAGCTCTTGAATTTTTATCTAAATAACATTTTTAATTAAATTAAATTAAATTCAGATTTAAAATTCTTAAAAATTTTTTAACTCTTCAAAATATGCACAAATCAAATCTATGCCTTTACAGCCAGACGCTTCAGATTTTTACTACACTCAACTCCCGATTAAGATGGATAATACTGGAGACGATATCCACGGTAAACTAAAAATTAAGGTTTTTTTGGAGTCCCTAGCAGCTAAAATACTATTATCAATTTACCTGCATTTTCAAGAAATAAGAAGAATAATTTCTTTTGGATACGTAATATTTACATCAGTTTTCGAAATACTCTGTCTCTCAAGCACCCGCGCATACCCATTTTATCTCTCTTTCTTCCTCTTCCTGTCTGCATCTTTTCCCCATTTCACGGTGCTTATGTTATTCGTTTTTTAGGACCACAGGGGGCTGTAACTCTGGATCCTTACCTTTGCGGTGTATTACTTTTCAAATCAAAAGTCTATATATATATACAGAAGATAACCACCTCTTTGTTTCAGAATCGTCAGTAGAATCGATACAGTTGTAAATTTCCGTAAATATTTAATTTTTTTCAGTGACGCTTATAAAGCTCGTAACTTATTTCTATACGCTCAAAATTATGTTGTCGAATGTTTGCTTTTCGTGCGATTATATATAACACTTATACGCTTATAATGTATATAACGTCAATGACTTAGCCTTCTTTTTGCAGTTAGTGTGTCACTTTTCAAATAAAGCTTATAATTTCTCCTTACTTTTGCGGTGTATAACTTAGTTTTTATAACGCGTCTAGCACATGGGCGAGTATAACACATAACTTATCCTCACTTTTACGGTGTATCACTTTTCAAACAACGCCATTAACCCTTTCCGGCAAGCTACCTTTTAAAGTTGGAGTTTTGATAAAAATAAATAAATAAATAAATAAAAAGAACAAAAGAAAAAAAAAGAAAAGAAAAGGTAGGCAGTCTAATTAGGCCTAGAGGAGTACACAAGTAAAATTTTGTGAAGGTAGCACTTACCTTTTAATTCTGTGGGTGTGCCCAAAGTGGCACACTGATTGAATAGAGCTTCGAAAAGAGTGCTGAAACGAGCATTGTTGTCAATGAACTGACCGATGAGATGCGGAGAAACAAAGAATACCGACTCTCAGTTGTCCTAGATTATCGGTGAGCCCGGTCTGGGCACACCTAGGGTTCGCTTTTTGATTTTAGGCAAGATTTCAAGGTAAAAATTTAAAACTAATATAGAATAAGGAGATTAGCATACAGCCAAAAAAATAACATAGAAATTTCTTTTCAAACAATTGCTTTTAATACCCTAAAAAAAATCTGGAAGATTTCTTTGAAAAATGAGGGTCTTAAAAAACTGAACATGGCTAAAATATAGGGACTGGTTTGTGTTGAGCTGCCATCTACTATAAATAAAGAAGGTTCAGAGTACAGAAGGAAATTTTTAGGTGTGTCCAGACCGGACACACTGTGCCGCAAAGGGTTAACTCATCCTAACATTTTCGCAGAATTACTTTTGCGGGGTATAACATACTTTTGTAAAGTTTTTAACTTATTTTTATAATGTTTAAAACACGTGAACGTTTATAACACTAAGAAATATTTTGTCGAATGTTTGTTTTTTGGACCATAACGTATTTCTATTATAACACTTATATGTTCACACTACTCTCGAATTTCGGCGGAAGTTGTGTAAAAGAGAAGACTAATTATTCTGGCATTTGATTTATTCTTAAGACAAAACAATTTACTTACTCTTAACAGATGAAACACTACGACGTCATCTGCTATCACTGTTGATAGCCTATGTAATTTTTTTTCCTATTTTGTGTTTTTCATAAGCAGTAAAATACAATAAAGCAGGGAATAGGCCTATGAACGCTAGGAGCTGTCAGCTTTACTACCTATCCCATGGGAAAATATACTATCACCAACCAGAGCACAGCAGCATTATAACAAAATCATGTATTTACAATACCATATAATTTTCTGTAATAATTACAAAGCGATATTATAGTGCTGAATGTATGACATTTGAGTTATTCTTCTACATTATAGAGGTGTTTAACATTCTATATACTATACAATAAAATTAGCAGATAAAAATAAAGATAAAAATAGATAAAATAATAAAATTAGCAGATAAAAATAAAGATAAAATAATAAAATTAGCAGATAAAAATAAAGTTGGCAGACAAAACTTTGGGCCAGAATTCATGCACTTTCTATAGTATATATTGTGTATCTAAGGCACATGTTAGCAGTATAGAGAGGAAAGGGGTAGTACACAATAGTAAAGCGATAGTACAATATTCAAAAACCCTTAATTAACGTGATTTTTTAAAGAATCTGATACCTTCTAATATCATTTTTACATAAAAACACTAGTTTCCGGAACATGGTTTTCAAGGCTTTCAGCAATGAGACTGAATTTTGTTAAAACAAAGAAAAAAATGCCTTAAAATGGTACGCGGCTGACTTTTTAATTAAAATTTAAAAACTTGAGCTTTTTCCTTATAACTATCATAATATTTATCCTTGATTTGTCTTTGCAAATTAATGATAATATCCTGCTTATTTATTTTAATAACTTTATCAGAGATACTACACTAACTCTTTTTTTTTAAATTAATTTTTTCTTCACTATCCACTTCTGAATTAGCTATAGTTGAATCTGCATACACTATGAGACAGCTAAATAAAAGCTTCTAAAAAGTGAAAATTTTCATGTACAGAATAGAGAAAATATGCAGAAAATAAAGTAGCAGCTTTATTCTCTCTTTATATTCCTTTATATATTTTATTTAGGGGACTACATTTTGAAGTTCCTGATAGACATAGGCAAAAGAATCTTCCACTTGCTTAAAAAATGTGTACGAATTAAAGTTAAAAAATAAACTTTATGTTGAATAAAGTCTCCCAAAACTCCATTTATAAGGTAAATTAATAGTTATTCAGAAGTCAAACAACAAAAATCAGCGTTATATTTACAAAATTTTCACAGGACTAGTTTCGATGGTTTTACCGAACCACCATCTTCAGCTGCAAAACCGCAAATCGATTTGCGGTTTTGCAGCTGAAGATGGTGGTTCGGTAAAACCATCGAAACTAGTCCTGTGAAAATTTTGTAAATATAACGCTTGTTTTTGTTGTTTGACTTCTGAATTAGTATTTATTAGGTGTGTTATTGTGTCTTAAATTAATAGTTCTTAAATTTCAATATAAATTTTGAGTTGGTATTTGCATATGTATGCTGCAAGAAATTGTATCATCCCTGCATAAACATCGATAGAGAATTTATCGTTCAGAAGACGGGGCATCATATCATTATTGCATCCCATAAACAGATTGGACCAAAAAAACATCTTCATTCACTGAGCGGTTGGCTTAGTCCTAAGTTTTTTTCCCAGATCTTCAGATCTCAAATCATTTGGCTTTTACAACATAAAGAACCCTTAAGACTTCAGCGTAGCAAAAAAGAATGCAGAATTCGGATCATTGAAAAGAGTATGTTTAAAATGGAGTTATGTACATAACATTAGATGCGTGAAAGCATGCGTGGAAGAAACACCTCTTATGTTTTTCGAAAAATGGCAATTAATGATGAAGTGCCATTTTGCAAACGAAGTTATAAAAAATGCCTACTGTGCGTGGAGATCTTTCAAGCTTGTGTAACTCATAGAAGTTAACGGTCATGTTAAATATAATGTGCGCATATTAGTTAACAAACGTTTAAACTATTTCCTTGAAATAAACTTACTTGATACTCTTTCTAAAATGTCAGACCAGAAAGAATGTGAGTTGTGAATGTTAGTAGTCTCTATAAACGGCATGTCAAACGTTAACTTCCTGAGTTCTATTCTCTTTGTAAAGAATCAATTAGCATTTACAGGACGTTTTTCTATATACTAATGCCCATTAATGACAAAACTAATGAAACTGATGAACCAACATTGCAGTTTTTGCTATTCATTATATTAAGTCTGTTCATTTCCAATGTCGAACACTGGTGATCATTTCAATTTCCAATAGGTAAGCATAATTCCATGTGATTTTTGCTAAGCGTTATATTAACACGTGAAATCTCTTCGCAGATTTTAAAGCATAATGATTTGTGCTAACTTCAGTCATAATACATGAAGTCTTCTAACACTGCCCTAGTATTTCTAAACTACCAACTAACTAGCATCTTGTTAGTATACTTCTT